ATTGGCACTACCTCAGCCTCTCCCGGCCGTCAGCAAACCCACACGTCCTTCAAGCGGGTGTAAGCTCAGCCGGTAGCCTGCGCTGCCTGAGGAGCACGGCCGACATTTGCCATTTCTGAAGGAATTAATTGGAAGTTCCGAGCCAATAATGATTTCCTTCCCTGACAGGGAGCGTGTCTCCAACACGTCTCCAAAGGCCTTTAAAGTGGAGTTCAGCAAAACCTTTGGCTGGTTTGACAGCAATGCTGCTTCCCCGTCACTGTTACAGAATAATGCGTTCTCCTTGCACCGCGAAGACATATGCGCCTCAGCTCCCAAATCTGCTGATGCAAGAATTCCTCTTGTCTTTTTAATCTTTTTTGCCAAGATTTTTGGGAGAAGAGAAAAAGTCCTACTGTAACTGTAATGCTGTTTAAGGGATTAGCGTGCTTTTACGCACGGGATGAGCAGTTGCTACATCTTCTGCAAGGGAGAAATCTATCTGCGACATGTAAGAAAAAGCGTAAGAAAATCAACTTTTATTCGTTTTGAGCAAAGCAGAAAGTCTGGAGTGTCCAACCTTTTGGGAAAGCATCACACTACTGCAAATCCCATTGTGGACCAGGCTCTGTAAGAGTAAATGCCATTAAATGAACTTTTTCTGCTATTTTTTCACTAGTGGAAAGCTCTTCTGTCTTCTGTCTGTCACAGCTTCAAGCCTTACTAATTTTTAAGTGTTGCTCTGATGCTATACAGTTTCTGAAATAGTATAAACTACATTTTTCTGTTTAAAAAACATTTGGCTGCTAACGGTGTAAGATGGCTACAGGGTAACTGGGTATGGAGCTTCGAGGACGTGCTCTGGCAGAAAGCACCAGTGAAATTACATCACCAGACTAGTCCCTGCAATATTGGCACATTACTGCCACCAAAGCCCCCCATCGCAGGGTCCCAAACCAGTAAGAATAATAGCCAGCAGGTTGTACAGAGCTCCTGTATTAACAAGGAAGCACTTATCAATGCACTTTTTAATGCAATTTTTCAGGCACTATGCAGTTGCCCTACCCTGGGTAGAACCAAAGCCTAAACAAGCCTGCATAAAATCTATTGTCATAGAATCACAGGGTGTTGGGGTTGGAAGGGATCTCTAGAGCTCACCCAGTGCCACCCCCTGCCAGAGCAGGGTCACCCAGGGCAGCCCCACAGGAATGCGTCCAGGCGGGTTGGAAAGTCTCCAGAGCAGGAGGCTCCACACCCTCTCTGATTCAAGTCCCTTCATCATCCTCGTAGCTCTCCATCTCTCTCTGAGTCCAACGGAGAGCTACGAGGATGATGAAGGGAGTAGGTCCCAAGGAGACTCCACACCCTCTCTGGGCAGCCTGGGCCAGGGCTCCGGCACCCGCACAGCCAACAAGTTTCTCCTCACGTTGAGGTGGAACTTCCCATGTTCTGACTTACACCCATTATTGCTTGTTTTATTGCTGGGCACCACTGAGAAGGGATTGTCCCCTTCCCCTTGACCCCCACCCCTCAGATACTGCTCACCCACAGGGAACAAGCCTGAGAGGAGGAGAACAACATTCTGCTGCTACACAAAGAGGATTTGCCCCACGTTCTCCACAGTACGAGACCAGATTAGTTTAAAATGAAAAGTCAGTGGCAAATACAAGCACGTGGATTGAGGACCGTTCCATCCACAGACTCTCTGTCAGAACCAGCACCGAAAGTACAACATGTCCAGAAGTATCTTTACACCAGCTTAACTAAACTTAACCTGAGGCCAACATGACGGGTCCACTGCAAGTAGTTTGTTTTACAGCAACTGGTCTGCTTTTGCAGCACTTACTGGTTTGATAAAAGGCTTCCTTATACGTGAAGCATGCCCTCCCTCTTCGCACAAGATGCAATTTTCCCTTCCAGTCCTTGGCCAGTAAGCCAGCATTCCAGGATGATGTATTTCAATTAATTTCAGCAATTGAATCCCTTGCCTTGGAGGCATGTGCGATGCAGAACATAGCGTGTGCAATTTTATGTTCCTAATTTCCTTTTCATTCAGAGGACAGAAGCCAACAAAGCGAGTGGATTTACATACAGCCCAAACAGAAATGTCCACCTAGGAAAATAAGCCAGGTGCTCACATACAGAGGCACGGGGAGCACTGGGTCCAAATGCAAATCTCCCTTAGGACCAGGAATGCTTAGATCTGGACTTTACAGGCCAGTTTTAAAGGGGTCGAGTGCCACCAGGACAGAGGTGCTAGTACTGGCCTTGGCTCCAGCTGCCCTGAACGATGTCTCTGTGCTCACTGCGGGCAGAAGCTAAGTTGGATTCCACCTCTGTCTTGTTGCAGAGGACTGAGCTTCAAGGGTGTCTGTCTGCCTCGGCACATCGCCCACTTGCTGGGCCAGACCTTAATGTCCTGGGTTTAGCTAAAAACCCATGACCCTGAGATTAATCTAATCTAATCTCAGGGGGTTAGAGAGCGTCTGTCCGTGTTAGTGGCCGGCCCAGCCCAAACCCTCGACACTTACGAAGAGCACAGAGAGGATCACTCCAAGCAAGCTTTTCCACTTGCAAGCTGAAACAGGCAATGAATTTGTCTCCAGATGCAAAAAGCAAGGTGGACTAACCAGCACACCACTCTGAGCACCGATCTAAATCTTCTCTTACTTGCATAGTTAAGAGGAACCCCAGCAAAGTCAATGGAAAAACTCCCATTGACACCAACGCACCTAGAACGCAGCCCAGCAGTCGACCCTTCAGTGAAATCCCATGTGCAGAATAGTGAAAGCAAAGAGACTCCTTGTGTGCCGAAAACAGAAGGACATAGAAAAGAGGCAGAGGAAAAAACAGGCAAGTTTCTGGGCAGAGTCTACTAATTAGGTACCGGTGACACAGCTCAAAATCACTTGTTGCTAGACTCATCTGAAAAGCGCAGGCAGAATGCAGATGAAGGTTTGAACGTTGCTTTACTCTTTCTCTCCATTAGAACCTCCCTGACTGGTGCAGCTCTTCTGATGTCAAGACAATTTTACCAGGGTTTTACATCTGCTCAGAATCTGGTCCATTGTCTTCAGACACACTGCAAAGACTTTACTCACAGCGACCGTAGTCCATGGGATCAGCATTGGGAGCTCCTGCTCAGCTGCCAAGAGCAGTTCTAAGCCATCAAAATCATTCCCGTGCCGTGCCAGGAAGGCAGTTAAGCCTATGTTTAACTAACTTCAAAGTTAAACATACGCTGAAGGTTGTCCTTTTTTGTGAATCACAGCCTAACTCTGTAGTGCTGTCCCAACCAAGTGGAAGTATTGTCTGTCTCCGTCTTCCTTTCCTGCCTGCTCCATGGAGGTGCTGTACACGTAGATCTACAGCCACGCATAAACAAACACCACGTAGAATCCTAGAATGGCCAAGGCTGGAAGGGACCTCAGAGATCATCTGGTCCAACCTCCCTGTCACGGGCAGGGACGCCTCTCAACTAGATCAGGCTACTCAAGGCTCCGTCCAACCTGGCCTTGAACACCTCCAGGGAGGGGGCAGCCACAACATCTCTGGGCAATTTATTCCAAAGTCTTGTCACCCTCAGACTGAAGAATTTCTTCATAAGATCCAATCTAAATCTATTCTCCTTCAACTTAAACCCATTTCCCCTTGTCCTATCGCTGGACACTCTTGTCAAAAGTCCCTCCCCAGCCTTCCTGTAGGTTCCCTTCAGGTATTGGAAGGCAGCTCTTAGGTCCCCCAAAGTCTTCTCTTTTCAAGACGTCCCTAACTCTGTAAAAAGAAAAGTGAGCAGAACGAGACACAAGTGGCCGACAAAAAAAACCTAGTTGAGCTAAACCACTATGGACTTCAAGGCTACAGAGCTGGGCACAAAGGTTTATACGGTCCATAATCTGCCAGGCAGCAGAATCACAACCTCTTGTGAGGAGACTGAACAAAATCTTGTCCTAAACACGGAGGAAAATGGGGTTGTCGGTGTTACTCACCTCGCTGTCTTCTGCAGGAGGTGGGGGAGGCTCTTTGATGATCTAGAAGGATTGAAGAGAAACAGAAGAGTACATTTATATTTTGTTCTTTAGCACAACTGAAATGTCACTTAAACTCAAGCAAGGAAACAACGGGATGTGAACAGCTCTGAACTTGGTTACAGCACTGCCTGGCTGCAGGGCGGCTGCTTGTGCTGGTGTCAGAGCCACCGTGTAAACAGGAGAAGTCCCAAAGCCCCACCATAGAGACGTTTTCTAATTACAGCTCCATGCTCACGTTGCTCATTAGGAGACCCCTGCCCTGTGTGAGGTAACAGCAAATTCAGTCATGCAGCCTTGGATCTCCAGCCTCCTGACTCCAGTAGGAGCCCTAGTGCTGGCTCTAAGCAAGACAGCAACTGCTGTTTCACCTGAACAACCACGCTAAAACCAGCATCTCCTTCCACTGGCCACTGTACACTTGTACAAATCCTGTCTCGAATAATTTAAACTCTGGACAAAGACTGGAAAGCAAAACCAAGGTGAAGTAAAACACTTCGGAGACATTGCAAAGCAGTAACAAACCCCCAGGCTCCATCTCCCAGACTCATACCTCATTCCAAAAGGCTGTACCACCTCACGCTCTTATGAAAAATGTTTTTCGCATTATTAGGCTGATACAGTTCACTCTCATAAGCTTTAAAAAAATATATAAAAATATATATACATTTGAGGCTCTCCCAGGGTTTCTATTAAAACAAGCAGGGTGAGGTTTTAAGACCGGTCCAGGATATTCTCCATAGAAACAATTTCAGTTTATGTGGGCGTGAAGCTATTATTTCATGCAAAAAGTTTGCATCTAGGGCTCGGCAGGCAGTTGGCTACTACCACAGCCCTCCACTCCAAGAGCAACAGAGAGCTTTCCACAGGGAAAGCAGTCACATACAGGCACATCAAATATCTCTCCCTTACAGAGATGCATCCCAACGACAGCCATCGCAGTCGGAAGATTGCGTTCAGCCAGTCATGTCAATGCAACTGCTCCAGGGCTGGATTTCTCTAGCAGTTTTAAGCCCATCTGGGTGAGGCAGCTCTTTTCTTACACACTGAGCCACGAGGCAGACGCTGTCAGGGCGCTGAGTGCCTGTGGAGAGAGCCCCGAGTGTCCTCAGCTCCTCTCAGGACCGCATGTCAGGTGTGGAGGCTGCCTAGGCACAGCGTACAGATGTGTAGATTTAAAAATGACCCGTTCCAAAAAAAAATTTCATAGCCCCAAACAATAACAGCCTGGCTGTTTAAATGCAGAAAGGGAAAATGACAATCACATTAAAGGCCCTGAAGACATAAATATTTACAACAATTCCTCTCACTCGTGTTTTTCCTTCTCTGATGAGCTCACTGTTTTTATTTTCCTCTGCAAAGCTCAAGTCATGCAATGTGGCCATTAATGAAGAGCATGTGCCTCTGGCTGGGGAGGAGATGGGGGCTGGATCAGTCCCTTCGTATCTCAGCCCAGAGCAACAATGGCTGCAGAGCTCTGCCACCACGTGTTCCCGGGCAGCAGGGCTTTAGTTTGGGTGGCACTGCCGTGCTCTTGGAGAAGTCTTGCTCAAGAACCTTTGTGCTTTAAGAACCGACATGGAATCTTTGTTTATATGCACAAAGCACGTGTGGAAGCATGAAGTGCTGAGGGACATGGTAGGTTCGACCGTAAAGCCATATCAGAGAGAAAGGAGGGGCAATGCCCCAGAGGAGCTCAGGCAGAGCTGGTGAGCCTCTCGTAGAGCATCCACCTTTCTCTGTCACCCCCTTGGTTTCTAGCTTGTGCTTGCAGCTCTAGGGGACACCAGCTTTTTCCCCGATGGAAAGCAAGTGATGAAAAGTGGATGGAAAGTTGTCTGCATCAGAGCGCTCTGCTCTGTGGAAAGGATGTCGTGGGTATCAGCCTGGCTTACTCACAGTGCTGCTCCTTGGTTTAAGATGGAAACAGCATAGCCTTACATGTCTCTTGACACAATAAGTACAGACAGGGTGTGTGCAACACACCAAAATACACAGAAGGCTTTTCTCACCACGTTTTCAGATGCATTTTGCTTGGCATGAGGGGTGGCACTTGCCAACAGACCTTTTGAACCAAAGCCCTTAATCCAAACCCATTGGACGCTGAGAAACTTCAGATACCCGATCCGAAATACACCTACTGGTCAGTGGCCTCAATCCCTCCTCTCACATTATTCTGATGGAACATCGTGGGTTTCAGTGGAGTTGCTCTCATTTGCATTTGCATGAAACATCAGGATAATCTGTCCAGCATATTTGGTCCAGCCAAGCATTCAAACACAACTTCTCAGACAGCATCTCCAGAAACTCTTGAGATTACAGACTTGGAAATGAAGAGGTGGCTGTGTTTTTCGTACATTTGCATTCCCTCTCATATGCGTACACACGAGCTAACTGATTTCTGTCAACAGATCAAGTTTTTCTATCACGGTCCAAGAGGGAAAAAAACCAGATTCCTTCCATTTGTAAGTGCTAGGCACTTCAAAGAGCAACTGAGCACCCCGTAAGCTGGCACCATAGGTTGGTTAGTTTGGACAGTTCAGGAATGGGGAGAGTTTAGTCTTCTCTGCCTTTGAGTCTGTATAAACTTTCAAAGTTCAAGCCTTACAAAACAATTATTTTCTGTCTCGCTGCCCACATCCGGAAAGGCTTTTGGCCTACAAACTGTACAAATCCTTTTCTTCTCCCTTTTGGACTTTTACAGCTCCAGCTGTGCCTGCAGGAGACCCTTACTCTGGGCTACTGAAGGCAGAGGAGCAAATGGGAGCTTTGTGCCATCTCACACCACCGAGCAAAGCAAGCGCCAAGTGGGAATAACGAGGTCCCAGCGCTGAAAGGCAGCACCTTACACCTGCTCGTTTTGCACAAATACGAACAGCTGCTCGAGTACAAGAAAGAAAATGCCATCCCAGGGAAGCCAGTGAGGACGCAGCCCATGCTGGCCACCACGTTTTGCTCTCGCCTCCCCTTTGCCTCGCCAGATGACACACGTGGACCTGCTGGACGCAATCCGCTGGGAGCACGCTTGGCCAAGCCAAACGCTTCGGCTAGTTTAGCTTGGCAAGGCCCAAGTGTTTGTCCATGTGTGCTGCAATTGTTTTGATAACCCTGAGCCATTTCTGTGATTGCTGCTGCAATCGTATCTCTTGTCCCTGCATCTGGAAGACGAACCACAGGATCATTCGGCAACCACACTTGTTCTCTGGGTGCGGAACAGCTGAGGGTTTCCACATCATCGCCGTGCTACAAAAACCTACAGTGTGGTCTTTCGGTCTCAAGTAGTAGAGGATGGAGAGGTGGCCACTGGCTTTTCTTGGCAGAGAAAGGAACTTTGAGAGCAGTTGTCAGCACAGTAATTCTTTCCCTTTCCATCAGCTTTCATCACGGATCGCATCATGCATGTGACTGACACCAGTCTCTGCTAGCTGACCCCCCCACCCCGATGTCACCGAGGCACGGAGGAGCAGCTGGTTCTGACGAATACCCCTGTGTAAAAGCAGGGGAATGCTATCAGCCACCTCCGAGAAGTTTAAAAGCGTTGGAGAGGACTGGTTTTGTGTAGCCATTCAGGCGTAAGAGAGCACATGTTGAATCCAGATTTTGCATGTTCCAGGAATGTGTCTAGGATGTTTTCCATCTTGGGAGACCAGAAAACTCCACCAGTTTACAGTGTCCAGCAAGTACATACTCAGTAACTGTCCCTGGAGTTTCATATGATAAATAGGGGCAATATGTTTCTTGTCAGTAAAGTGTATCTGCTTTAAGATGGAAGAGGTCATCATTTAAAATGAAGGTGACACAAGAAAACAGTACAACATAAGAATCTTGGATCAGGACTAAAACTTGGGAAGGGAGCAAGCAGTTAGGCAGCTTTTTTTGTCCTTATGTACCTCCACTTTTCTGAAAACTACAGATTATGTATCTTTGCTGTCCTAATAAGCAGGGGTTTAGATAGCACTAACTATGAACCATCTGACTCATCTTTTTTTTTTTTTCCTCCTTACATATTTATAGTTTTGACCTCCTCTAAGTCCTGTGACAGAGTTCCATAGTTTAGTTATGAGTCGGGTAAATGAACATTTCCTTTTTTTTTGCTTCATATCTGCTGTGCCTTCTATGTACCCACTAAGTCCTTGGAGATTTGGTCTACACTTCAAAGTTTCTAACAAAGCCGAAGCCTGTCCCTATTTCTTCATCTGCAATTCTTCTTTCTAGACTTACTCGTTCGAGGTACATGAAGTCCAACAGGAAAGCTAACTCATCATCCTTTTAAGTCAACCCCTCCTGCCAGCCTGGCAGCAGATCCAGGAATCTCAGTTTAACTCATTAAAACTAGAAGACAAGGCTGTTTCACACCTCGGACTTCAACCTGATGTGCACGAGCCACACTCACTACAGATGTCAAAATCCTGCCCTTTGGAAGACTATAAAATGAAATTCCTTTTCTGAACTAAAGAAAGCCATGACAGCTGCTTTCAGCTGTGTGCAGAAGCCTTTGCTCTCACTCCATGATGCGAGGGATTTTTCTGGTTAAGACAGAGCATGGCTTAAAGATCTGTTTCTCTTTAGCTGGGCTAAGCCAAATTTCTGTGGAAGAGGTGAGAGGCAGCCAGGGAAAAACCAAAGGAAGAAGTTATTTTTAATGAGATAATTACTTCCCATGAAGGTCTGGGACAAAGAACAACAGTGTCCTCTTTGCATTAAGTATCTGTTTGGTCTGGAACGAAGGGTGCTGGACCTGGTCAAGACTAATTTAATTAGACTTTGGATCTGGCCTTAAGGAAGCGCGCTAGAAGTACAAGGGTTCGGGAATGTGAAGTCCAGGCACATCATCTAAAGGCAAATGGGCACCTTCCTAACTTTCAGAGGGCAATGCTTAGCGCTTTCCAGAAAAAGGGAACTGAAAGAAAGCTTTCAGTTTGGACAGCCCAGAACTGACGGACTCTTTGAGGAATTTGGCTTTAACGTTTTGGAAATGACACGCCACAGCAGCATGTGGAAGC